CCCCCCCCCCCTTTTATTAAAAACCACAACAACATACAGCTCTGCATGCCGATATGAAATCATCTTACATTCTTTAGTTAAACAAAAATATTTTTATTTTACTTAGAATTTCTTTTTTTCTACTTCCTGGTTCTCTTTGGCACAAATGATGTAATGTGCCCAAGCATTGCATCCTGGGAAGGTTACATCAGCAGAGCATTGCTGGGAAATCTCATCTGTAATCTCAGGAGATCTTCTTTAGTACATGCAGTGTATATTTATATTAAAACTAAAGTCCGGGCAAAGACAATCCAGTTATTTTGCTATATATAGTCTTTAATGTGTAGTTTTCAGTAGAATGGGGAAGGATAAGAACCACATTTAAGCTTTACTACAATCTGGGGCTCCGTAAAGCTGTCAGGTTTCATTAAAAAATATATAGTTTTATGAACATTGGTTTGACTTCCTATACTCATCAGCACCATCTAGGGTTGCTAGAGTGGAACTTTTATAAATGAATCACTATCAGGGTTATTCACAAAAGGGTGAAGGGTTTGGAGAAGGCAGGAGAAGGGAACAATCTAGGACAACATAGCTGAACTGGAAAGTGAGCTGAATTGGAAAAATGTTCCCAATCAGCTATGTTGTCCGAGATTGTTCCCTTCTCCTGCCTTCTCCAAACCCTTCACCGTTGTGTGAATAACCCTGTATGTGTTCCAAGATATAAGCAATGGTGATGAAGTCTATCAAAACATCACAGCACACAAATATCCTCCTGTGATTTAAATTCAAATCTTTCTAATAAGAAGAAAAGTATACCCTACAAAGTTTTGATCATTTATTTTAGGGATGCACGGATACAATTTTTTTTCAGACCGAGTTTGAGTACCAATACTTTCCCTCAAGTTCTAGCTGATACCAATTACCGATACCTTTTGTTGAGTGTCATGTGACAGTTTTTCTAAAACAATACAGACTAATGATTTCAGGACAGTGGTGGAGCGCCCGGGCCCTGTCACAGCTGCAACCGCTGCAACCCTGGTAGTTCTGCCACTGACCCCATGCTCTAGAGGGACTACAAATCTTAGAGATATATATTACCATATTTGCCGGCGTATAAGGCGACTGGGTGTATAAGACGACCCCCTAATTTTCCACTTAAAACATAGGTTTTGGGCTATACTCGTCATATAAGACTATCCCCCTTCCGAGGCAACACCATTTAAAAACATAATGGATGGATGTGCGGTAATACTGTATGTACGGTAGCTTCCGCTACATACAGTATACCGCGCTGAGCCAATCATGGCGAGCAATGTATTCTATTAATGAATACAAAGCTTGCTTGGATTGGCAGAGGTTGTGTACATCGCTCGTCGTGATTGGCTCAGCTACTGTATGTAGCCGAAGCTACCGTACATACAGTATTACCGCACATGCAGCGGGCTGACAGATAAGGGATGTTTGTTTTGGGCCAGCTTGGCCTAAACGACATAAAGCTATACATTGTATACCCCGCGTATAAGACGACCCCCGATTTTTGGGGGATGATTTTAAGTATGAAAAGTAGTCTTATACGTCAATGTTCTCAGCAATAGAGGACTACAAATCCCAGTAATACATTATACAGCAATGCAAAATAACACCATAAGCTATAGAGGACTACAATTCCCAGGAATACAGTATACAGCAATCCAGAATAGCACCTGCTAGAGAGGACTACAAATCCCAATAATACATTATACAGCAAACCATAATGGCACTGGCCCTGTGAGACTAAAAATCCCAGCAATACATTATACAGCAATCCACAATGGCACTGGCACTGTGGGACTAAAAATCCCAGCAATACATTATACAGCAATCCAGAATGGCACTGGCCCTGGGGGGACTACCGATCCCAGCAATACATTATACAGCAATGTAGAATACCATTAGCTATAGAGGAATACAAATCCAAACAATACATTATACGGCAATGCAGAATAATAGTATATGTATTTGCTACAAACTCTTTGCTGCTGCTCTGCTCCGGGGTGCCAACCTGATGTCTTGGGCGAGGGTCCCAGGAGGGGGAGATGTGCGGAGGGATTTAGGAGGGGGAGATGTGCGGAGGGTCTCAGGAGAGGGAGATGTGTGGGTGGAGGAAGCGCTGTAAGCGGGTGCCGCGTAGTTCCCAAGAGGGCTGCTGTGAGGTCCTCAGCAAATGTGGGACCTAAGGCAGCCGCATCAATTAAAAAAATAAAAGCGCCAGTATCATTTTTTGGCAACGGAGCATTTTTACGAGTACTCGTGAAAATGGCCAATATTTGCACCCATACCGATACTGGTATCGATGGATCCCTAATTTATTTAAATGCACAGCAAAGTGCACTAAAATGAGTCACATAATGAACAATTGCAGCATTCACACCGGGACACATGCACTGTGCTGAAATCATGCGTTTATTGTTGGAAATACAATAGCACATACTGCACTGCTATAATAATGTTCTGAGATCTAATATGTCTTTTGAGCTGTAGATGGCGCTGTAGTTCAATGTTACTCTCTATGTGCATATTTGTCTATGATACACAGGACGTTTTCCTATATATAAGTTTCCTTCACAATGCTGTATTCAGATGTAATATTCTGCTCAGCAAGTAAAACTTAAAGTGACATTAAACCCTCAGGATTTCTTAACATAAAACTATACTGTAATGTGCGCCTTACTGTAATCCATGGTTGTTTCCCTTCTCTTTGCTGCTCTTCCTTTTAAATCTGTATCTCTTCTCATGCTGGGCAGAACTTCTGTTGTGCAGCAGACTGCCTTGTCTGTGGAATGGATACATGGTGTCTGTGTGCAGGTTCACAACCTGAGCCAGCACTACAGGAAGAGGCACTCAGCTGCAAAGGGAAGTTCTCCCCCAGCATGAGAAGAGATACAGATTTAAAAGGAAGAGCAGCAAAGAGAAGGGAAACAACCATGGATTACAGTAAGGCGCACATTACAGTATTGGTTTATGTTAAAAAATCTGAGGGTTTAATGTCACTTTAATTCAGCATTCCTCAAGATCTCAGTGCTCCATCTAAACACACAACCAACATTTATGGTATAGTGCCGGTGATGTGCTGTGACAGATGGTGATGGGTGAATGTGCTTGGTTCGATTCCCCAAGGGTTTGACAAATCCTGGTTATAATTCAGTGAACCCAAACTTAGAACTGAATCCCACTGAAGTTTATGAGAGGCGAATATTGTTAGTAAGTTCTAACAGGCAAACTACTGCCAAAAACAGCGATGGTGAGCTGGGCACTGCCATGGGGCACATCTACCAATACAAAAAAGAAAATAAACCTACAGCAAAGAGAGGGTCTTTTCAAGCGGGTTTGAGGACAATGGCTGCTCTGTGCCCCCTCCAACTCCTTGTATAGTGTAGGGGCTGACAGCCAAAAAAACCCCGGTTATAATTTTCTTCAACTGTCAAAAAAATTCAATGCAATATGGCAGCCTGGAGATATTCTGTACACAGTTGGTGTATGAAACACTCTTAGAAATGTCACTTCCTGCTTCTGTGATTGGCTAACTAATTTTGGCAGACGTCTGCACTAAGATACAAGTAAAAATTTAGGCATCCCTTGCAATAGGAATTTCTTTTTTGGTGACAAGTGTAAGATACTCTCTAAGGGTTAATTACTTCTAAAGGGATGCCGACACTGCAACTTTCCTCATTAGATCGCAGAAAGTCCACCAGCTGATTCTAATGATCACAGACCCTCCCATTCAGTGATCAGTTTGGAAAGGACGTGCTGCAACAAACAGCTATTTCTTCAGAACAGTAAAAAAGGTGTAAACTACAACAAAGTTTGTTAAAATCCTTGCAAAGTACATCGATCACCAAAAGGGGATTGAATTGAGTTACTCTTTAAGGTTTTTTGATGTTCATAGCACCCCATCAGATTCCAGTGCATAATAGAAAAGTGAAATGATGTTTTTTTGTTAAAGCTGAACTCCAGGGAGTTGTCTTGGGGCACCTTCAAAAAGCAGCTTTACTTACCTTCCCCCTCGCTCCCCTGATAGCTGGCACTCTCCTCTCACCTCCAACGTTGTGCACCCTGACACGCTGCTTTTTGAGAGTTTTGAGAGCTGCATACAGATGGTAAGTAGACATGATGGATCCAGATCTGTACACCGACTGTGTGCAGCTGTCAAATCTCAGAGCTGTGGAACGAAGCATGTGAGGGCGCACAGCTTCTGCACCTCCGTAGAGTTAAATGAGCTGCCCACATCCTTCCTCCTACAGCTCCGGGTGCATCAAAAAGCAGGCCCTTCACGTTGTACAAAGCAACACGCCCCGGGTGAAAGAACCCTTAAAGGTAATGTTACCTATGACAGTACTCCTGTTACAACTATTGATAAATAAAGTGTACTAGCATGAAATACTTACTAGGGATGCACTGATTCCGTTTTTTGGTATCGAGTACAAGTACCGATATTTTTTTCAGTACTCGCGGTTACCGAATACAGAAATTGGAAGTCCCATTAAGGAAGCTGGGCGGCATGCACTGACTTGCCACCCGGCTTCCGATTGGCCGGGAAGCCATCTCCATACTCCCTCATCACCAGATGACGAGGAAGCATGGAGCTGACTTTCTGGCCAATCAGCCCAGAAGCCAGAGAGCGGGTAAGGACTCGCCACCTGGCTTCCTGATTGGCCAGCTTCCCGACCAATCAGGAAGCTGGACGGCAAGTCATTAGACGCCGCCTGGCTCCCTGATTGGCCAGGTGACAAGGGAGCATGGAGCCAGCTCCCCGGCAAATCAGGAAGCCGGGCAGCGTGTAATGACTCTCTGCTCGGCTTCCTTATAGCGGAAGTTCTGGTATCGGTATCGGTACAGATACTAGTATCGGTGCATCCCTAATATTAACATCTTGATCTGTGATTACCTGGTTTCACCGTCAGGGCTCCGCAGCTGCTGGCCTCACCCACTTCATTTCGTGCCGTCACGGTATAGATACCAGAGTCAGAGGGCAGCGCCCAGCGTATTAGCAGCGAATGCCTTTCACCCTCCGCCCGGATTTGATGGGTAACGCTGTTTCTCAGCAGTGCGCGATCTTTTCTCCATACCACTGCAAAAAAACAAAAAAAACAAATGAGTGTTTCTTTTAGGAGAAAAAAAACTCAAAACATGACTAAATATAACAAAAACAGAGGCAGCTGGCATTGCAAAATGCTGAACAGAGTGATAGTGGATAGATCCCTTAGGACAGGCAGTCCGATCAGGTACAATCTGGGGGTAATGTGATGTAAATGAACACATGTCCGTTAACATCTGATTCCCCATAGACAAGCTTGGGGTCCAACAGATTTGATTGATCATGAAATAACAGGAACAAAGCGACAATTTGGGACCACACAAGGTCTCTTCTTCAGGTAATTGATGATAAAGATTTTGGGGTGCTGTCACTTTCTCTCTATGTTATATTCGGCGGTCCCATTGGCTTGTCACTACAGCACCCACCAAGACACAAAAGGGGACATAGCGGTTAGGTGTGTAATGGGATACCTGCACTGTATGTATTAGGGCCAGAGTTTAGAATGTGAAATATATTGTATTTTGTAATGTGATTCCCCATTGTCTTATGACCACGGAGTCACCTTTCATCACAGGAAGTGGCAGGCAGGGCCGGATTTCCCACATGACCAACCAAGGCCCGGCCTAGGGGCAGCAGGGAGTAGAGGGGCAGCAGGGGTGTTAAATTCCTATCTCCCGATGCCCGGACGGGTCGTTGTTCTCTACATTTAACACTGCTTTTGGCAAGCAGAGCTAAATGTACAGCGGGGGAAGCCGCCACTTGTTTTGTACAAGTGATCTCGGCGACATTGTATGCAGCCTGCAGGTCTACCATTCTCCATGGGGGGAG